ACAACGTAGCGTGACGTTGAGACAACGTCTACAATCACATCTAATATTTACAACCTCTAGCCAACGTTGGGCCAACGGTAGTACCCAACCATCTTTTTAGAAGTTTGCCGACGTCGGGCCAGTAACAAATCGTGACGTTTACCAACGTCCGTAGACAGACTGAATATTTACGACGGCTTACCAACGTTGGGACGACATCGGAAAATCGACAAATATATTCATAAGTTGGGCCAACGTGAAATTCCAATGTTGGTCTGACGTTACCTCTCCGACCAAATTTGCAACCAAACACCAACGTCGTACCAACGTCAGATATCCAACCCCGACGCTTAACGACGCTTGTCAACGTTTACCAACGTCGCTTTGCTAGCTGGGAATGTATCTTTTAACACTACAAAAAATACTTATTAAGGGGACAAGGACAATCTTTTTGAGTCAAATCAATACAAGAATAGGGCTACTCCTATTCAGAGGATACCCTATAAAGGGGACACTTTTTTTGGTTCCGAAGGTCTCCATTTAAACCTCAAAATACAGTATCTCCATGCTTTCCCGGCAGGGGTTCCTTGATACTGCATGCTTGGATTTCCTATTAAAAAACAAGTCATGAAATATCTATAGGTGGCGCTATACCATAAACTTTAAAACAAAGATGGCAGCGCCCATGGTGTGAGAGTTGGTTTGTTTTGGCCGAATGAATTCACAATGGGTTCTCTTGGTTCTCTGAGGTCCTCTGTTGTAAAACTTGAACTGACTTTAGCTGTGATTAAACCAGACATAGTTGCCCATCCTCATAGACACTATGTAAGGGATTACAATTCGTTTAACTCAACTGCACATTATCTAGGCCTAACCTATCCTAGCTAGAAAGTAGCCTAGCGAGGGGGCTAGACAAGGCCTAGGCCTAGGCCAAGTCAGCTAGGCCTAAAAGTAGGCTAGGCCCTACGCCTAAGCCTAGTTTGCCTCCTTCCTAGGCTAGGCCCTCTAGACTATATAGTAGAGCCTAGAGGGTCTTGATCTTGATAGTATAAGTGATAGACTCCGGCTGGAGTATCACTCAATGGTTGAATTGTGGCGACAGAGGAGGGACTAGGTCATAGTTAGCAATTTGCTTGCAAAAGGCAACAGAATTATAAATTGAGGTAGAGGAATAAGGGAGGGCATTCCAGTCTTTAGCTGTGTTGGGGAAAAAGAAATACAGGTAGCGAATCTGTCTTCGCCTTTGGTATCATTAAAAGGGGATTATGATTTCTAGTGCACCTCGCAGCAGTCGCTCGTCTGTTAAATTTTTTAGGTGGTTATCAAACTTCAGATCAATTTTTGATGAATATTTTGATGACCAATCTTGTGCATCATTACTAGTCTGTTGACTTTTCATCTGTGTTCATGTGGAGGGAGGTTGATATCTTTAAGCATAGCAGTAACAGAGGAATCCCACTTGTAGTTTTTAGTAAAAGTGAGCCTCAACTTTTTGGATGTTGCACTTGGTATGTGGACCCCTAGACTGGGTTCCAGTCCCTAAAGTTTGTCTTAATCAGTAAAAAAGCTGGAAAATGGCGTTCCATATTACCTATTTGCTTGGCGTTTCATTGTATACTTGGTTTTCTAATTCGCATCAAGAAAGTTTCTTGACATACTGTATACTGACGCTGGTGGCCCTTTCCGAAATGTGCTAATACTACGAAAAATCAATAAATTAGAGACTTGTGGCAAGTCTAGCGGATCCCATACAGAGCTAAAGTATTCTAGGGTGGGCCCATGAAGTAGTATTGAAGTACTGTAGGACTAGTAGGCCAGACTTAACAAACAAGCCAAGCTAATCTTAATATAACAACAAATGCATTTTTTGCAGTATTTACGAATCTGCACCTATTTTCCTAGCGATTTCCCGCACACATTTGAGCTGGTTTTTGAGGTATTTGTGCAATTTAAAAACTTTACTATATGACGATGCGGCCTATGTCTAGCCATGACAGGGAGCAAATTATCATCCACAGATGTTGTACCATCCAAGCAATTAAAATACTTAACGAATACAGTATGGGCTATTTCAACAAGGCTTTAGTTAGTAGTAGTCGAGATGAAACTAAACATGTACAGTATTGTACGTTTGTAGGCATAAGTTCAATAAAAAAAACAACTGACTGCCTTAAATTACATGTACATCATATATGTTCTTAAAATATTTTCCCTGTGGTTGTAAACAAAGAGTTTTAATATTATTGTTTAATTAATTTGAAAATTTAGCAGCTATTTAAATTTTGACAATTTTGCATTCTATCTAATATTTGACAGGCAATTAAAGATATTATCTTATCAAACAACTTTTACTTTATCCGATCAAAAGTGCTAAAATGGAATAGAGACAGAGCCCAAGAGTTTTATAGAGAACATAAAGGTACTGTATTTTCTGAATACTCCACTGTATTTTTTTGTGGCAGTGGTTATTTTACTGGATGCTATTAAATGCAGACTGTGAACTATTATTTAAAGTCTTGAGTGGTATTCTGCCCTACTTCCCCATTCTGGACTCGAGTTCAGATTGAAAACTCAGTTTACCCCTCCACTCTCCCTCTAACTTTTTCCTTAAAATTCAAAATATAACATGTATTTATTTTTTAAAAAAAGGCCAACTTTTTCCTTAAAATTCTGAACATATTTATTTTTTAAAAAGGCCAATTATATGAAATTTGAGATTGTGGAACTGGGGGAGGGGTGCAAAAATTGTGAATGCGGTTAAGATTTATCTTATACTTGTTTAAAAGCCTGAAGCAGCCTTGTTATGTTGTACAGGATCTCGATAAAGGCGGAGGAAGTTAGCCCCATATTTTTAAAACCATAGCATTAGTCTTTTAACCTTTGTTTTTTTTTTTTTTTTAATTTAAAATTCTACTTTTCATTTCAGGTAAATTTTTTTACAATCGCCTTGTAGAGTTCATGTCAAGTGGACCCATGAGTGCTCACATCCTGGCAAGAGAAGGTGCTATAGCACACTGGCGAAAATTAATGGGACCAACCAAAACTTTCCAGTATGTATCTCCAGTCAGCTGATGCTATTATTACACACTGGCGAAAATTAAAGGGACGAACCAAGACTTTCACTTATTTTAAATTTCTGTTGCTTTGCTGCCAATTCTCTGCTAATAAGCAGTCATGTAAGGACGAGTCACAGGGGCCGAGGAAGGGTAAGGGGTCCCATGTATTTCAGTTGTCCATTACGAGGGGGGCATCCCCTTCACAGTGGAATATCAAACAATACCATAGCATGTTCATTTAATTTGAATTCTCTGTATATTCTAGTAGCCCTTTACTTCAATTGGGTCGGGAACAGACTTTAATGTTGATCACTGGTACGAAAGACAAGAACATTTATATAGGACTCAAAATGTTGTATACTGCAAAGAGACTGGATTGCACAAACCTCAAGGAACTGACAGTTAATGAAGAGATTAATAATTTCAGTATTATAAAAAAAAAACAGTTGTTTTGAATACAAACGCCAGCAGTTGGATCAAAAAGAGCTTGTCCTGGCTTAATGGATGAAGAGGTCAAAAATAATATAATCATGGTTCCTCAAACACATTGACTTTTGGAGGAGGTCTCTGGTTTGGTCTGCAAAGGGTTTGCTGTGTGTTAAGATTAAAGATTGTTATTTTAAAAAGTGGTCTGGAATTACATGGGTCACAGAATTGAAGGGTGCACTGTACATACCCCAAGCTGAACATCAACCACTGCCCTTATTAGATTTACTTTAGACTTTGGCAGAATTCTAACGACCTTATTTTTCGAGATTTTGCATTGGTTGGTTGGAACTTGGCAACAAACATTTTTTCAGTCTGGTACTACTGAAGGACTATATTCTAACTTGCTAAAAACGAAGACAAACAATTTTTGGATGTACAGTAGCTTGCTTTTTATTCTCAACACATGCTATTATATTCAACGTCCAACAAAAATTACACATGAAAAGTTATTTTTTATAAAGGAAACCAAAATTATTATTACATTTAATTATTCATATTTTTTTGCTGTGATTTATTTGTCCTAACTTCTTACAACCAGCATAAATAGAAAAGGTGCTTACAAAATAAAGCTGATAAAAAAATGGATTCATCATAATTAACATCTGTTATCATTTAATACTGAAACTTAGAATTCCCATATGCTAAGGACACGAAATTCAATGACAACTGTATTGTAAAAAAAATACAGACTGCATTCATCAACACAATGATTTTTTTTACCAACCTTGAACCATGTCTTGTGGATAGATACCCTTTTCTTAATGTGAATCCTAATATGATTACCGTATACAGTAGCAGCAATGAGAGAGGTGGATTTTCTATTATTTACTGTACAAGTGGTGAACTTGCCAGCAGAGGATTAACTCATTCAACAGGAAATGTAAAATGCACTTATTTTGTTCATCACTTCATATTCAAAGACATGGCACTCTCACATTACAGGATGGATCAATGTTTTATAGATATGGAAGTCTTAGGCATAGGGAGTTTAAATGTGTTTAAAGCACTATCAGGTCAATATATATGGATAACATATTTACATCATTCCCATATATGGTCAAATCGTATTCTACAGAACCCAAGGATTGGAGGGCGAGTATCTTAACTAACAAGATGCATATTTACTTCAGTGTTTTAACTTTCAAATTGAATTTATTGAACCTTATTTCATGCGATACAAAAATGCCTACCTATTAAGTACATATAACAAAAACATGAGCACATCATGAAATTTATTTTCTTGAAGAGCATGAAGATCACAATCGTGCAGCACTCTGTTAATGTTTAAAATAAAACATATAAAGTACAGTACTGTATTTAGCAAAACAGCGGTGGACATGCACCCACACCCCCTCTCTCTCAACACAGCAGCTCTCTTGGAAATACTAACTTACAAGAAATGTATGCCTCTACATGATTGATTTTGTTTCTTGTTTATCTATTTTTAAACATTAATGGCAACAATACGCCTTAGCACTGCTGTCCATAATTTTTAACATGCATATCCAGAAAAAAAACTTATGAATTTTTGAATTCAAGTTTTATCAAGCACCAAATTTTACACGCATATCTTCACAAAAAACAGTACACAGATACGTATTGCAGTTTTTGTTGGGTTTGTGGGCTTGTAATTGGTTAAGAATTTTTTTTTTTTTTTTTTGATAAACAAATGATTACATCAAAGTTTTTGCAGCTGGGGTTAATCTAATTATCCTTCAAAATGGTTCTTAAGGTAATCGCATCACATGTTGCCTCCTCGTCCCCTTCCTGGTTGGAACCTCCCCCTTCCTCCTGGAAAGAAATAAACAAAACAGAATTATGATACATAGGTTGTACTATATCTAGCAGCAGAAGTTACAGGAAAATGGTAGGTGAAGGAACATCAACATTAATATTAGCAGCAACAGTAGCGTAGAAGTATCACTAGTTTAATCTAAACATTTCCAAGAAGAGAACAGCAATATACAGTACCTCGTTGATTTCTCTGTATTGGACGTCGCCCTCGCACAGCAGACTGGGGCCTTGGCTGTGCAGGCCTTACTGATGCTGAGCTCTGTGTTGGATGTCCTGAACTCTGTGCCTGGTTGCCGGTATTCCATACAATGGGTTTTGGTTTACTCTTAGCCTCACCTCCTGAAGGATAGTTGGAAGATAATTGTAAGTGGTGTGTAATTACTTGTCAATAGATACCAGTAGTGAATGCATATGACAATGAACTATATTTAAAACAGAGGCACTAAATTTTATTTTCTCATTTGGGACATATTTTACCTCAAAAAGCATATTCTTACACATGGTGTACCAAAAGTTACTTGACATGCAAACCTTTAAGAAATATTTTGGGACATATTCTTATGAAACCCAGAAAACTATATTAAAAAAAAAGTCAATAGTAATTTTTCAGGTCTAAAATGATCAAACTGTATATCACATAAAGTGTTTACTGAATTTTAAACCTACAAGATACAATTTTGTTTAACATGCATTATTATTAAAATCAATACAATAAATTCCGCAATTTTTAAGAAAGTTTATGTCTGTATTTGTTTTTCCACTTTTTGACCATAGTGATCTGTGTAAACTCATGTATAATACAGCCAAACTTTTGAACAGAAAGTAATATATAAAGACGAATTTAAAAGCAACAAAAATACTTATAATATAATCAGACATGTTTCTTTGTATTCACCAAGGCATCTTCAGTGTAAAAAAAAAAACACGAATAAAAAAATCAATACTTACTATGTGCATTTTTTAATTGTTCACTGTGCAGCCATACGTAACCTGTGCATGCGTACAAAGATTTTGAGCCATTTTTCCCTGACTGATACCGAGTTAAAAACCATTATATTTGTCTAACTTGTAGAACAAATTTTTTTAAACAAGAATTACGATAAGCTTACCCTGTTCTGTTGAGCTTTCAGCTGCTTGGCCACTGGTTGAGGGTGCTTCCTTGGCTTCCTTCTCGCCACCATTGTTTGTTGAGCTGCTAGGCCCAATGTCTTCTGCTCTTGCTGCTGCTGTTGCTTCTCCACTACCACCAGCTTCAACGATTTCTAACTCTTGCGTGCTGGCTGGACTTCTACAGATAGATGGGAAAAAATGATTACTATTGCTATTGTTATCATTATTAAATGTTATTTACTGTTCCTTTTCTTGCTATATTCAAATTTAAAATTTAGATTTTCTAGAAATTTATAGAAATATTACAGCATTACATTAAC